GTATGTCTAGAGAGGAGGTCTAGAATTACCACAGAAGTCATGGACTATCTAGAGTATTTTGTGTCTCTTAATATAGGTTTCAAAGACTAATTAAGGAGTGCAGATAAAAATAGTAATTATTAACAATAATAAAAATTCTCTGTGTGTCCAAAAAGTGCCTATGAATACATTTTGAAACAGTCAGAAGAAATGTAAGGAAAAATACCAGAAATGCTTTCTAGGGCTGTAAAAACAAAAGCACTCATTTCCTTCCCAGGAGCCTCATCCCACAAATCTCTAAAATTTAAAAGACAGATGCATTTGTTTACAAACATGTTGCAAAAACATTGTTTCCTATTGGCTCAAGTTTTTAAAAAGACCATTTTTGTGCCCAAGCATTTCTTAAAAGCAACATCAGCCTGGGTAGTTTATTCCAACATTCATGTTGCTATAAATAAGGAAACTGAATTATGTGTCCATAAGGGACCTAAAATATAAATGTCTCAAAGCCATTTCTCATGTTCAAAATAAAGGGAGCCACTCAGAGAACCAAGGATTGTGATTCCCTTCTTCTCTTTCGTCCCTCCGACCTGACACAGAGCCTGACTGTACCTGTGTTCATCTCAGGAGCTACCTTGCCCCTGACCTCACAGCTCTCCAAAAGGCTCAGGGGGACTGCTTCAGATTGGATGAGAAGCAAGGATAGAACTTGTGTTTGCAAAGTTTTTCAAAGTGATATATTTAGGACGCTTGAGAGGAAAGAATTGGCCAGTCCTTTATTTATCTTCCTAACAGGTGCAGTCGGACAGTCATAAACTCTGGCTACTGAAAAAGAATAATTTTGCCAAGCTTTAAGCCCCTCTAGTCCGCATTTGCCCCAGAGTATTCATTGTTCCATCAGAGAGCTCAAATCTATACCATACATCTCCAGTACAGCATGGCAAACATATTTTTAAAGGGAAAAAATACTGTGGCATTCATTCATATGTCTCCTTTATTTCTCATCCACATCTTTAGCTTGGCCTGAATGAACTACTCAAAGTTTGGAGGAACATAATTGCCCTTGATACACTAGCTCCTCTCTCCTCTGTTCTTTCCCTTAGTTCCTACAAATGAACTTTCCCTCAATTTCAGGGAAAGGTGATATTCTATATATGATGACTTTGCCAAACACAAACTTATGTTGGTGTTTGAAATAGGCCATCCAGTCTCACGCAGGTGGAAACTGAAGGTCAGGGAGTAAATATGAGAGGGAGGTATTCCATCAGCAGGACACCCTTTCTGATGACGACCAAGCCTTGAGCAATGCCGAGAATCAGGCAAAGGTGATGAATCCTGCTCTAGATTCAGATAGCTGTTGGGCTTAGCAGAACTTCCACATGTGAAGAAATCACTATGGATCAAGAAAGAAAGTTACAAAGAAGGAAAAATTATGGACTGAAGACAAATTATTCACCATCACCATATTTCCACCTATTCCTAGTGAAAAAGGCCAACATAGATTAAATAGATCTTGTATGTGATTATAGCAAAAGAATCTGCAGCAACAATACCATACTTTTGATTCCTGAGGTTAGTAGAATGGCCCCTTAAAATTATGGTTGTATAAGGACCTCTATTTTGTTATATGTTTGAGTTTTTAAGAAGAGGTCTTATGTGGAAGATGAGAAAACTATAGCATCTCTCCCAAGGTTTCATGACTGGCACCCAAGGACCAAGGAGGAACTTCCGCCTTTTCCTACAAGTAAAGCATATGAAATATAATAGGGCCTCTCAGCATTGCTCAAGGCATTTCAGCACCTAACAAAAACTGAAATTCTTGTTAAGGCCTCAACTCAGTGTTTTAGATGAAAATATTTCTAGTTAACAAATGTCTAAGTATGATAAAGAAACAGGCTTTAATGTTTTAATCATCACATATTGCAGAGATAAAATTCTGAGGAAATCATCTTTATGGGTTTAGGAGCCATTCATAGTATTTTTAAACCATGAGAGATTCTACCACAGAAGAAAAGCTGTTGCAGTTTTCTAATTTCATGTTGATAAAATTACTTCCTGACAAGAAAAGAGAAATTCCCAGTGAAAGGGGATTTATTTACACAGAATCCAGAGACACTTAACCATGAGGGCTTTTAGCACAGAGATCATGTTGTAGAGGTCTCTGAAATGCCAGGTCACAGTAAGTGCTCAATTAAGAGTTGTTACATAAATGAATGCATCAGCAAAGCAGTCTGGGAGATTCCCACACATCTGTAACTTCCTTCCACATCCGCTCTGTTTGATTAGAATAACTCAGTTTTACTAGGCTTTAGGTTCTGCGTGAATCCAAAGTATAATATAGGTCTTTTATCTGGAACTGACAGTACAAGTAATGTAGTTCTCCAGAGAATAAATACACAACTGATGAGGTGGAAAAGAGGGCGAGTGGGAGTGGTTACTCCCTAAAAATCATGTTTTCTTCCTCCCAAAGGGGTTATTGAGGCAGCCAGAATATTATCAAAGGCCTAAATGAGGCCTGTTGAGTAATTACTTCCACTAGATTTCCTCCTGGAGGTCCAAAGTTACACCTGTCCTTCCTCCTCCTTCTCCTTAGAAGATCCAGCTCCCCCAAGACCTAACGTGAAGCTCCCAGAACTAGGTCACTGTGGACTGGGGGACAGTTGAGAGATCTTGCACACCTCCAGGTGCTGAAAACCCAGTGTCTTTTGAAGAGTTGCCAGGTCCCAGGAGGGCCAAACCAGTCCATGCAGCCTCTCCACCATCACAGCTGGTGGCCATGTCCTTCTTGGGCATGGCTTTTCCAGCTGGAGAAGAGAGTAATAAGATCTGTGGGAGCTGGAGGGACCTGTTCTCTCTGAAGAGTTCAGAATGACTGAGAAATTGATGTGGTGGCTATCTTTAAAGGGATGCTTATATGGGACAAAACCAACCCCAGTGAGAATAAAATCAATCAGGAGAAGGTGCAAGACCAGAATACTTTTGGAATGGCCACACCCCTTATGCTTCTAATGTTAACAATATTAAAATGCAGTGGGGTCACCCGGAAAACTTTTCCAGGTGCAGTTCCTTTAAGAATCAGTTCTGCTGAATAAGGAAACAAAATGTCTCTGGACTTTCACAAAGGATTTAAAAAATATCAGTAACTCTCATTTTATCCCCACTCCCCACTATGCAAATTAAAACTAATCAAATAATCTGAGTATAAAATTACTGTGCTGGGTGTCAGGATGCCTTCAGAGAGTATCAACAGTGCTTTTATAGCAAAAAGGAGATGATGGGGACTTTGGTGTCTGTGTTGATTTATTCAAAAGAAAAAAATACATATTTTGGAATGGGGGCTGCTGAAGTTAAAGATATTTTCCTCTTTGTAGCTCTAAAATTTCATTGCCTCTAAAAGTAGAATGGAGCAGATTGGGTTGTCAGAGAAGAGAGCTATCACATCTAGCAATCAGAATAACTGAATTCATTTTATAGGCTCTACGGTCTGCCATCTGATTTATTAGTTTCTCAGCTTTCTTGTCATTTTTAAATCGAGTTTAAAACAACAGATGCAAATTCATCCAGTACAGGCAGCAGAATTACAACAACATTCTGTCCTCAATCAGGAAACATAGAATGCGTTTCATCCAAATAAGCCTTGAAGAGGCTAGTCAAGTGGCAGATCAAATAAAAAGGACACTTAATACACATGTAAATCATTTGCATTACAAATAAGACACTTTAGCAGGGTTGGACTCACTGCCTGGTAGTCAGGATTAAGTTCCCATATTAATGCATGCATTTGGTGTGGTTATTTTGGGTGGAAGACCTCATCCATCAATGCCCTCTACCACTAAGTAAAGCCAGCCTGTAAACTGATCACCACAGCCTGTCAACACTGGTTACTTAATTACATAAAGAAAATACATTTCAACGACTTTTGATAATATGCAGCATTTCATCTTTGGGTTCAACATCTAGCATCTTTTTCAAGATACTTCAAAATAATAGTTGAAAGCAGTTTTAATAATTAAAAATGTAAACACTAAATACTAGTCTGTTGCCTGCTAATCTTTTTTTTTTTTGCTTTTATTTGCACAAGTCAAAAATAGTCACTCAGCACTAAGAAAGACTCACATGAATAAAATAATATTTTAAAAAGATACTCTCACCAGAAATGAAACTCAGGAAACTTGTGTTAACTTGTGTTTTTCATTAGTCGTTCTAGTAGTTTCTAATTCCAATTTATTTCTTATTAATTAATAATTTTTTGATATGATTTTTCAGAGAAAGGAGAAACTATTGGAGGAAGCAGTTCTTCTAATGAAGAACGTTTTCATATCTTCAGTTTAATTATTTTTAAAAGGCTACATAGTATGAAATTATCTACTCCTCATAACCTCATTAAAGAACACAATCTACCAGTGACATTCAAAGATATTCTCTCTTACTGGAGTGTGATTCTTTTTCTATGCAAGAATTTAATGTAATAACTAATAAAGCTTCAAAAACACTGTTATAAAAACAAGAAGTTCCTGCATCTGCTTATTTTAAATGTCTTCTTGTGAAAAAAAAAAGCAAATCTGGAAATATTGTCACAAATTCCTTTTGAAATCATGATCAGATTTATTACCTATTTAATATTCAAGCCTCTCCCACCCCCAACAAATTGCAAATATATGGTGAACAATTTGTGACTGAACCTAAGAAAACACACTTGAAAATGCAATCTGCTGCTCATCATGAGCAATCAACAGCCTTAAACGACCCTTTCAATTGAATGACATTATAATTTGATCATTTTTAGTCAATATACCTTCATAAACCATCATTATCAGATATTTTTCAGTTGGAATATAGGAATATACTCTTCCTATATTTCTCCTCTGGTCTGTTTCCTCTACAGGATCTTTTCCTAAAATCACAGTGATTTTATGATTTGATAGCCTATTTAAGAAACTGGATCTTTGTCTGAAAGTAAATATCAAAACAAATACACTTTATTTAAAAGCACAACAAAAAGATGTACGAATTAGTCTTACCCTCTTTCTTAATGGGTTCTGGCATGACCACAGTAAAATGTTATTCTCCAAAGAATTTGCTCCCCTCCAGTGCTAGCTGACAGAAACCCCACGAGCAGTGGAGAGATGGTGCAGGTCAGTGTGACAAGCTGTTGGGGAGAAGTCCAGAGCTTTTATAGTGCCTTTCGACAAGTCGTTTTGGCACCTCCCCTTCTTCAGCGCAAGGATGCTGGGACTTGACAGCTACAGGGCCCTTTCTCACATCTGTTGTCTGTACTCTGCTCCCTGACTACTGGAAGGAATCTCCTGTCCATCTCATGTGGCTATGAGAACACCTCTAACTTTCTAAATTCAGCTGCAGCCTCGTGCTCCTTTTTACCCTTCTCTTTTTGTCGGACAGAGAGCCATGTGTCGACTCAGGCTTGCAAAAAGTTCGCCGGGTGATAAAAACTCAAATTAAAAATCCTAATGTGCTAATTCAACATATCCTTTCTTTTTCACTAAGGTTATAAAGAAAGATCTCTATATTCAGATGATAATTTTATGTTCCCACAAGCTCTTTTATTTTTGCCAGTTCTTAATTATTGGGGTTTAATTTTTTCTTTTTTTATTGATATGTTAATATTAATCTGTCAAAATCTGTCAAGCCAGAACTCTATATGGATTATCTTGGCTAATTTTTTTTCCTCCAAGAATAGCAAAGGTTTCTATGAAGGAGTACTTAGCATTGAGCCTTTTTAAAAGAAACACCCTTTAAAAAAAGTACAGGGCATGTAAAAGAATGAAGTACTGGTATATGCTATAACATAGATGAAGCTTGAGAACATTATGCTGAGTAAAAGAGGCAGACACCAAAGACCACGTATCTTACAATTTCATTTATTTGAAATGTCCACGATAGGCAAACCCATAGAGACAGAATGGCAATTAGTGGTTGCCAGGAGCTGAAGGGAGGTAGAACTGGCAGTGACTGCTAAAGGATATGGAGTTTCCTTTGGGATGATGAAAATGTTCTAGAATTAGATAGTGGTGATGGTTGTACAATTTTGTGAATATATTAAAAACCACTGAATTGTAAACTTAAAAACATATGGGGCATACATAAAGTCACATAGTCAGCAAGCCATTGTTTCGTTTCAAGTTGGCCAACAGACACATAAATGTAACTCAAGATATTGGCAGACCGCATCAGATTTGGACACTGCCTCCCAAAACTCTCACAGAACTGATGAGGAAATGTGAACTGCCAAGTCGCCAAACCACAAAGGACACCTTCCTTGCTTTGTCTGCATGCCTGGCACCTCAGACTCCAAGATTGGCATTAGTTTGTATGGAAAGGTGACCACTCATGTGCCTTTATTGGTATGTGTTTTTGAGGTCCTTTTCAAGAGACTTCGACCGATTTGTGAACTAGCCACATTGTGTCATTTAATTTCTCGTGGCTGAGAGTGCAGCTGGTCAGACTTAGCTCTACTAAACTCTGTGCCAAGCTCACTTTTCATATAAGGATGGAAACTCAACTTGGAACTCAATAGCATCATGCTTTAGCTATGTGGTGGTGAGGTGGGAGGAAAGCCAGTCTAGAAGGTCTATGAACATCTACAAGGAAAGCCTTTTCTTAACCACATAATGCTATTGAGCACATTGTTTTGGTGTTTTAAACATTTCTTTGCTCTCAGATGCTAAACAGCTAAATGGCATCCAGAAAATAGCATATTCTGTAATACAAAGGTAGATGTGCCTTGAAGGAAAAAAAAAGTGACTTTTTTCCCCCCTGAATCTACCATGATGGAATCAATTAACAGAAGAAATAAATTAAAGAACCTAGAATCTGAAGTAAGACCCTTGAATTCCAATTCTGGACCTGTCATTAACCAGCTGGTTATTCTAAGAAAATCAAGTGGCCTTTCTAGGCCTCGGTTTCCTTTTGGGTAAAATGAAGGACTTAAAAATAAGATGATCTCTGAAGCCTCTTAATAGGTTTAAAATTGTGATTCTATACGGCTAGACCCTAAAAAGGAATAATTTTTCCAACATTCCCAGCACATTGAACACCACGTATGAAATGGACATAAGGACAAAGTGCCATATTGCAGAAAAATGTGTATAGTGATGGGCAGATTTCACACATGCCACAAAAGAGGTGCCATGCCATCGTTGGCTTCTGCAGAACTCCATTGGGTTTTTAATTCATTGATCATTTTACTGAACTGAACAAGTGCCAGGAAATATTGCAAGCATTGAGAACCTATTTTATGACCTGGGGAACTTTTGGGTAATTAAGGACTTGATTATAAAAAGACAAAACATTACTGGAGGAATTGAAAAATTTTAGAATAAATGTTTATAGAGTGTATTAGATGGTTAAAGTGAGATTTTAAGTTAGAATAGTAAGTAGACATGTGTGATTTTTCCCAAGACTGTATTGTTTTAGAAACACATAACCATATTTCAGATCTCACACATTCACCTAGAAGGCTGCAGACTCTATCTCCAACATCACTCTAGAAAGTGGGGAAAGTGGTCAACAGGGATATTTTTTTCCTTGTTAAATGCTTTATTAGGTTTTTCCTTTTGTATTATTAAGGATTATATTTGTCTGGATATAACATCACAAAGTAACAACAGTTAAGTCAAGATTGAAGTATTTCTTACTCACACAAAGCAAGTGCAAAAGTAACTAGCTTAGAGTCATTGCAATGGTTCCACAGTGTCATCAGAAATCTAGGCTCCTTTTTCCTGCTCTACCATCATCCTCCAGATAACTTCATGGTCTAAATGGCTGCTAGTGCTCTAGCCATTGCATCCACATTCCAGGCAGCAAAAAGAAAAAAAAAAAGGACTCACTTTCTCCATTATAAGGAGCTTTCTTTGAAGTTCCACGTAAAGCATCTAATACATCCCACTGACAAGCACTTGATTACATGGACATATTTGGCAACAAAAGGAGTGGTAAATGTAATCTTTAATTCTCAGTGACAACAGGTTTCTGTTACTATGGGAATGAAAAGAATGAATGTTGGATAGGCAAATATCAATCTCTGCTATACCCTTCAAAATAAAAGCAATAATACTCCTGGACCAATCAAAAGTACACAGAAGTGTAAGTAATAAACCTCACCCTCTTCACAGCCTTGACACTCTCCAAGATGGTGTGAACTAGGGTCTAAGTTTCTCATACATACACATATAAACTTACATATTCCTATGTAAGGAGTTTTTCATCTATTTTTATTTACATTATTCTTCAACTTTTTCCATTTAACCTCTCATAGACATCTCTCCATGTTATCCACACACACATGTATCTCAATCTATAATAGCTGAATAATCACTCATAGTACAGATGTTCCATAGTGTGTCATTTTTCTCAATTACTTTCCTTTTGGTGGACACACCATTGAGGTTGGTTTCAATGTTTCACCACCAGTTAATACTTCAATAAACATTATAGACCACAACCTTATATATAGATGCTTTTAAATTGGTAGGGTAGGTTCTTTAAAGTGAGATTGTAGGTATAGTTTCAATCTTAATAAATGTTTTCTAGATTACTTTTCTAAAAGGTTGCCTATTCAACAGGTAGATTGGCAAAGTATAAGACTGCTGTTTTATCATGTCTTGGATGTTATCGTTAAAAAAGCAAAAATTGGTCAACTTAATGATGGGAAATCGTACTCATTATTTGAGTTTCCATTTTTTCCAAAAGGTTAAGCAGTATGATATGCTTATTGGTAATTTCGATTTTTTTCTGTGAATTGCTTTTTTCAAATCTTTCAGTTTTTTTGGTGATATTAATTGTCTATAATATGTGTTTCAAATAACTTTTTTCCTTTGTTTTGCCTTTTGATATTATGATGTCTTGCTATAAAATAATTTTATTTATTCAAAACTGTCACCCTTTCCTTATGGTTTCTGGGTTGTCTATCTTATTTTTTAAAAAATCTCTCCACCCAAGATTATTCAAATAGTCTCATAAATTTCTTCACTTATTTTTAAAAATTTAAGTATTTTTATTGTGTGAATTAGGGGATCTAAACTTGTTTATCCTCTTTTCCCCCCAGTTTAACAAGGAGTCATGCCAGCACCATTTCACTCTTATTTTACCGTTGACTTGAAATGTTACCTAGGGTTTATGATAATTTTCTTTTATAGACTCAAGTCTATTTATAGACAGTGTTCATTTTTCACTCAGCAATGTGAAATTGTTCTTTAGCCAATACCATACTATTTGGATTAGATTAGCATTACATTAAGTTTTAATATTTGGTAGGGCAAGTTCCCCTCTCAGGTTTAATTTTTCAAAATTTTCTTTGCAATTCTCCACTCATGTTCTTTTTCATAAATTTTACGTACATTTTGTCAGTTCCTGTCATCTTCTTCCAGCACAAAGGATATTCTAAATAAAATTAGGTATTAATTCATGACTGTCATTTGATAACATTAATCTGTCTCATCTAGAAATATGGTATCTCTCATTAGATATTGTTTTATAGTTATTAATAAAACTTTATATTTTTTTTCCCATAAAAATCCTAAACCATTCATACTAAATTTCTGCCTATGCATCTTATGGCTTTTGTTACTATTTCAGATGGAATTTCTTTTCTCCATTTCAATTTCTAAATGGTTACTGGGAGTATGAAGAAAACTATGAAGTGATTTGTGTGATTATTTTACATCTCACCACCTAATCAAGTTTTTTTTAGTTCAAATAAGATTTTTAGGAAAGTCACTTGGATTTATTTACTATATAACTGTATAATATGTAAAAAATGGAAATTTTGTGTTTAAAATTTCCAATACATATTGAACTTTTCATTTTACTATTATATTACCTAGAAACCCCAGTATGTCTTAAAATAGTATGTAGGGTGGGTCTTCCTCTCTTGTTCTTGATTTTAACGGAAATGGATCTAGCTTTTAAAGTTTAAAATGATATTTGACGTTAATTTACAGTAAAGAGTCTATCACTTTTTGGTGGTTTCCTTTCATTCTTACCTATTTAGCTGTTCATTAGTCCCAACTATTAAATTTTATCAATGTATTGTTTGCAGGTATTGTTGTAATCATGAGTTTTTCTTCTTTGTTTATATAATGCATTATAATATTTTGAAAAACTGTCAAATGTTGGACAACCCTTGCATTCCTGGTAATAATCCTATTTCAATATATATT